CCTGGCTTATCAGGCACAGGGTGTGCCCTGCCCGTTCAGGTTGCGAGCTCACTCAACTAGAAGTGTTACATCCTCCTGGGCGCTGGCTCGTGGTGCCTCGCTGGCAGATATCTGTAGTGCTGCGGCTGGGTGACCCCTAACACGTTCGCTAGATTCTATAGCCTTCGTGTAGAGCCGGTATCCTCCTGTGTTCTCACCTAAACGGGTAGAAGCACTGAGTGGCCCCGGCTCCGAGTCGGCTTGCTAAAACCACTCCAGAGAGTCCATATAGTAGACCTTGATGAGCTCCTCTGTCCCCTCGGCAGCCAGACGTGGCGGAGCGTCCGGCGCCAGGCCCTCTCTCGATGAATCCGTGAGAACCGGTAGAGGGCTGGGTTCCATATGTAGAGACCTAAGTGGATCCCATATGTGTAAAGTCCACGGTATGGCCTCAGAGCCCGTGTTTCCCCGGCAGACTTCAGCCATTCCAAGAGGGTTACAATCCCCTCCAATCTTCCATATGCACCTAAGGTCAAATGTGTATTTGCTTCCAAAACGTCCTTCGGGAAGGTTGGAGCTTCCGCAACGTCCCTGTACCAAGTGTAACGGGTACGTTTCCCAGTGTTATCCAGTCTTACTGAGTGGGTAGTGCCATAGCAGCAGTAGCTGGTCCTCTTGTGGTAAGCCCTGGCCTACGCCAAAAAGTAGGGGCACAGGTGGCTTCCACGGGACACTGGAAGGGGCAGTACCTGTGGCCCTTTTTTAGGGATCATGTCATGTCACTTTTCACTTAATTTATAAAAGTTGTAATTTATTGAATGTCCTTGAGACAGTCACACCATAGGAAAATTTTGAGATTTAGCTGAAAAAAAAAAAAAAAATATATATATATATATAATAATAAATCTAATAACAAAGCAGTTTTTATAACAATGGGTCCATGTAAGACAAATACATTTTAAATGATGACAATATTATTTACATTTTTTATATTGTGTGACACTGAATATGCAATGGCATGTCAACAACCCATTTAAGCAAACTTTTAAAACTAAATAGTTTCAAATTTAAAAATGAAAAAGTTTAACGATTGCTTAAGAGAAATGTTGTAGCGGAACACTGGATGCACCAAAGGATCAACCTCGAATAAGGACAAACACCAGTAATGCCTTTTATTGGGTGTTTACTGCAAGCATGAAATGGGACAGTGTTACAACAATCATCTGTTCTGGTTTCACAATCTCTCTTCAGAATGTTTCACACAGACTCTTGTTACAGGTCGTTTTTACAGTAACTGTAATTGAATAATTGTTCCACTCAATATAATGCATTACACCAAAGACACATTTTTATATAGAATTAATATGATTTATGAACACTTAAAATTTATTTAAAAAAAAATAAAACAAAATGAACACAATAACTCATACCTGCAAGCATGAAATGGGTTCTGGTTTCACAATCTGCAAATACATCATTTAGTTAGTACATTGCCCCATTTTTCTAATATGCAGGCGACTTACAATACCAAAGTAACAACTCAGTTTCCGTTTCTTCTCTTTAACACATATAACATGCTTTGAGTCATGAACTACATTACCCAAAATGCACCGCCGATTACTGGCGTGCATTTCACTTTGTGCAGCAAGGAATTAACCACTCGTGTCATCAAAATGTAATGAAATGAAACTCAGATTAACATTAACAAGCACCATCATACTCATGAGAATGAACACAGGACATAAACTGATATTTCAGATGTTGTACCGTTCATGGAAGTACAACACAATCGCAGGTTTAAAGCGATACAGTTTATGCAAGTATTAAACGTGTACAACCTTCTTGTTTCAGGGGAAGGTATTCTGCTTTGTTCATCTGAGCATCCAGGAACATCTAGCAGCTCTATACGCACATCTCTCCTTTACAAAGAACTACATGAATGTGTTTGACCAAACTGAAAAAAGTATCTTCTTTAAAGTTTTAAACTGGATTCATAACATGCTGTACTGGTTTCTGAATTATTCATTATCTGTTCTGCATCAGAGAGCTGTGGATGAAGCTTTGCAGAGTAAGAATGGACATTTGGACCTTTTCTTGCGTTTTCTTCTGGGTCTTTCATTGGAGTCCAATCAGACTCTCTTACGAGAACTAGTGACACAGACAGGAAGCTGCTCCTACAACAAAGAGGAAACAGTTGAGTTCATCAAACAGAAGATCAGGGAGAATCACTCTTCAGAGAGATCCATCAATCTCTTCCACTGTCTGAATGAACTGGGAGATGATTCACTGATGCAGGAGATCCAGGATTATCTGAGATCTGGACAAATAGGAGAAACCAAACTCTCCTCTTCACAGTGGTCAGCTCTGGTTTATGTGCTGCTGACATCAGAGCAGAAGATGGATGAGTTTAATCTAAAACAGTTTATTGGAGCCCAAAATACAGCAGATGAAGTTCTTCAGAAGCTGCTGCCTCTGATTAAAGAATCCAGATCAGTTCAGTAAGTCACACTGACAACACTCACTACACTGATAAAACATGAACATATTTATGATTTTAGTGTGAGCTGTCTGACCAGAGCTATGAAAGGAGAAATTCATATATATCACACATCATTTATACCAGTGTTTGCTGAACTGAGAGACTGAAAGAGTGTCATTGTTATCTACAGGTTGAGTAAGTGTGGAGTCACAGATGAAGGTTGTGCTGCTCTGGCTTCAGCTCTGAGATCAAACCCCTCACACCTGAGAGAACTAGATCTGTCATTTAATAAACTAGTAGCGTCAGGAGTGAAGCTGCTCTCTGATGGACTGAAGGATCCTTGCTGTAAACTGGAGAAACTCTGGTAAGATTATATAAACATCCTCTCCCGTTTTCTTTCTATGATCAATAATGAACAAAATAAACACAAAAACTAAATAAAAATCTAAAAAGTTTGTGTTGATGATTTTGTTTAATCTTTGTTCAAAAGATTTTGACAATTTTATTATGTAAGCATTGTTCTAAATTTATGCAAAATATATGCACACGTGTGAATTGCCTTGGGTGTGTGTGTGTGTGTGTGTGTGTGTGT